GTTTTGTCAGATTTCAATATTTTATACTTTTATCATGCTTTCAATAAAGAACTGAAAAAAAAAATTAGTGTCTTTTTGTTTCTCTTCCACACATGCTGTTATTGGCACTATCATCTCTGAAATAGAGAACTTGAAAATTCCATGTGGTGATCTTATGATTCCAGTTGCATCTCAGTTATACAACATAAATGCCTAAAAATACAAATTCTCAAATTTTTCTTTCTTGGGCAAACTTGAGAACAACAGCAGTGAACAAGTAGCATTTTTAAAATGCAGAATTACAAACACTTGTAACCATCCTACTTTTTAAATCTCTCTTTTTCAAAACACCAGCATGCATATCAACATACATTCTAAATTCATTATTTTTAAAATACTTTTTGTTTCCTACTTCTGTGCAAACCTAGCTCATAATTATCTGACACACTGTTGTATTCTTGACCACTACTAAGACCCTAAAAGAGCTTGAAGATTCTTACAAAGAGATGCAATCAATTTCTTGCCTTTAAAACTTGTAGCATATGCTGGCTCTTTCAGGATGTCAGAGTGAGCAACTTGATATACAGCTCATGTTTCTTCACAGCTTTGAACTCTCCAAAGCTATCTTTTGGGTTTCAGTGAACCATACACATTCCTTAAAGTCTGTGGCATGTTACTTCTCAAATTCTACATGTATTACCCAGGGTCTTCTCTAAATGTATTACCCAGAGTCTTCTTTCTGTAATCTCTTCCCAGTTTCAGAAATATTTCCTTCTCTATTTTCACTCTCCTTTTGTACCCTGACCTATTGTTTTATAACTTTGGGTGCTGGATGCTACACTCTTCAACTTAGTTAGAAACAAGTGAAGTACTTCAAGACAGTCGTATTCAAAACAGAGTAACCCTTTGAATCCTTCCTAGTCCTCCAGTTGTTTGTAGGTAAAGAATAAACCATGGTTTGAATGAGACCAACTGCTTTCTACCTTTATCAGGTTTTCAGTTTACTTAACACCTTCACAGAAGTTGACAAAGAGGCTCAAAGGAATCACAGATAAGGATAAATGGTAGCTGTCATTCAGGTAGCTACATTTTACAGAATATTAGGTACATAATCACTACAGATCTTGTTGTAAATATCCTTTCAGGAAAGAATGTTACAGAAATATTCACAAAAACAGATTAGTTCAAACTCATGGTAAAATGAGAGAAAGGTGCCAATGGGGTGTTATGATTAAGGGGTTTTTTTAAGTGTATATATAAAGTTAGACATTCATAAAAAGAGCAGTGTTCATTGTACCAGTGCCCAGATATTAAACATAACTATATTTGACAACTAAAAAATAGTATGAGTGGCAGAAACTATATACACCGTAACAAAGTCAGAAAATTGCCTCCTAAAATGACGAGTCATTTTGGAAAATGCTGGTCCAGTTAAGAGTGGAAATATACATTGTTCTTTCTTAGTCTGATTACCTTCCTGGTCTAAGTTGAGGTCAAGTTTAAATACTCCTCTCTAGAAGGATCACCTGCTTAGTAAGTGCCAAAGGCTGAGCACTTTGAGAATTCAAACATTCAGTATGAAACAGAGCTAGATTTCTAGCTCACGGAAATCCTCTCTGTGCCCTGTAGCTGGTTGGTGATGTTTAACAAGCAATTCTTCAAAAAGGATTTGCCTTTCTGGGTGCACAACAAGTTATGCAAATGGATCTTCTTGGCATCTTCTGAAAGAGAAGGTTTTCCTTTATCTGAAACAGACTATCTGACACCTTCTTCCGTCATAGCTTTTCATTTTCTTTTGTGACAAAGTATATTTTTTTTTTGCCTGATCCCATCTGAGTTTGAAGATGGCAACCAAGGAAATATTAACCACTTTTTTTCTCTTCAAACATGCCATCAGTCGATGGAAATTACAAATGCAAAGAAAAAACCCCACCCCAAACCCTGATTATGTTTTAGATGCCCTTAAGCAAAAGATGACAACAAGAGAAACACAGGCTAAAAATAAAAAGCATCTTTTTTTTTTTTTCATGGTAAGCCAGTAACCAGTGTACATATTCAAAAAGCTTATCTAGTTCATTTCATGTTCATCTAAAGTTGATCCACGTAATTATTTCTCCCATTATACAGCCCATTGATGCCTTTTTTTCTGCTTAGAGAAAGTGTCAGTGTTACAGGAGAGAGATTTTATGCTCAGAGGACCTGGGATTAGAAGAACAATTTTGATATTGGAGATTCATGTTTGGCAGCAGATTGCTTTTAAGTATGTAAAAAAATTTTATGCTGACATGCATCTGTGTTATGAAATAATTTATCTTTAACTCTGGGATGGTAACAGATGTTATTGTCTAAGGAATGAAAACTGCTGGTTGGGGATAAAAAGAATCTTTGAGTATTATTAGAAAACAGAAGAAAGCACATGGCATAATAGGTCAGTTTAACCACACTGTTTGCAGTTAATCTGACATTTCAGGCATAATCTGCAGTGCTCACTTGAAGTAGGACATTTTGCCAGGCAGAGAAGGATTTGATACATTCTTTTATATCGCTGTGTCAAATTTGATTAGAACATAATGAAATGAAGAATGTAAAATAAAGGCCTTTGGGCTCACTGGTTGTGCAGTGCAATAAGACGCACAAGGAATTAAAATGAATGTACTCTTCAGAATTGTGTCAAACTTGTCATGTGTAGTTTGTGTGGAGCTTCCCTTTGTCTCATGTTTCCTTGGTTTATCCTTCCTGTGAGCACTCTTTGTTGATCTACGTTAACTGAATTTCCTTCAGTAATTTTGCCCAGAATTTGCTTGTTCTCCAGTATTATTATTTGAAACAACAAGGCGCTCAAATATAAAATCATTGAAAACCTGTGACAGTTGATACAGTTTTGGTTTGCAACCATAAACCTTCCCATGGTGCTCAAAACTTAGCAGAAATTTATTCCTGGGATTCACTAATACTTCCTGCTGGCTTGGAGAGCAGCCACAGGACCATTCACTGCAGCAGCTTCATGAGTAGCCCGCAGAATTCAGCTTCTGCTGTCAGTCTGAGAGATATCTGAGCTACACAGACAAGAAAATGGGCTCAAACTTGGTTACTTAAATGATGTGTGGAGGGTTTCTCATAACTTTATGAAGCAAGTTCTAACCTTTGAAATTTTGGAAATGTTAATTGGCAAGCTAAGTACTCCACACTTTCATTTATCTGATACTCTTATCTCAGAACTCACATTACACGAAATTGGATGTGTCTCCAATGTCCTGTGAGTCACTTGCTTTGAAAAGGTCTCTTCTAGCTGGAAACCCAGTCTAGATGGCAGGTTGTGTATTCAGTTTGGATAAACAGGGTTACACTTCTCACAGGAATTAGTATCAGAAGGAATTAATAAATGACTCATGTTTCAATCCTGCATTTAATTTCAGAGATTACAGAAAATCTGAATACAAATTACACACTGCATCATTTTTGAAATTTGGAAGGAGAAGTGATTCGAAAGAAAATACCAGAGCAAACCTTCTGCCTAAGTTAAAGCAGGGAAAAAGGACTTGTACACATCAGAGTAACTCCAGCATGCCTGTGCATTCAGCTTTCAGTTGACTGTAAAAAATGAAGTTGATCTTCAGATACTTAATGCTATATGAAGACAGCCTTTCATTTGGAATGACTTGTCAGCTGCTCCGTCACGTCCTTACTTGTCGCTTGTGGTTGAAAAGCAATAACTTCTCATACAAAAGCCAGGTTGCTCCTCTCTGACACCACGGCCCAGCCTGTATTCCGAGTGAGGAACTGTTGGTGCTGCTGATGCACTTCCATCCTTGTGTGGGACAGGACTGTGCAGTGAGTGTACATGTTCCACACACTGACCAAGGAGGCTGAGAAATCACCATAAACAATGGAAATATCCATTTTCAAAAAGAAATTCCAAACAAAAAAAAAAAAAAAGGGATTTCAGCAATTTGGTCTGTAATACAGGCATGGTACCAGACCACAGAGGTATATGATGAGGAACTGAACTCAGGAAAGTTATTTGTCTCAGAACATCCTTTACTTTTTAACGGCTTTTTATTCTCATCTAAGCATATGTTCAAATGCTTTCCTGAACCGAGGTCTAATAAAGTTACGCTTTGATCTTACTATTCATGATGTTTGGTTCATTTGACTCTAAAATGTGCACCCCATTTGAGTGTGGTTTGACATAACAAATGAAATATTTACTGACACTTGGCACTGGTACCTTCACCTCTGTGGATTTCTCTAATGTATCATTCTCACTGCGGGTCTGTCCTCTGGAAGATGTGTGGGATTCATTTCTAATGGCATTACAAGGAGGTTGGCTCCTGCCCTGAGAAGAGTTCTTTTTCAGAAGTAATTTCTGTGGTTTTGTACCCGATCACTGTTTGTATTCCTGCTCAGAATTTGATACCAGAGACTTTGGGATAACAGAAAAAGAGACTTAATGTACAAGTTTCCCATTTCCCTAAGAACAAAATTATGCCAAACAAAGAGTTAAACCAATTTGGATGTTTCACTGCTTTCACGGAACACTATTGTCTGAACTCTCTTTGACTGGATTATTGCTAGGGGGTTATCTGAATTTATGAGAATATAGTCTTTTGAAGGACTTAAAATCACTACATATAAAAATGTTGAATCTGCAGTTCTGGCTGATGAGTATGGTGTAATTTACATGACAAATTATGGAAAACACAGAAAAGTAGGCAAAGTAAGAAGAGTGTATTTCCTTAAATAAGTTTTAGATTAAGTAAGATTAAGAGAAGAACATTTCTACCCTATCAGCAGCACAATGACTAAACCCACTATATCATACATAAACATGCTTTGATATATCCAAAGAACAAGAAATTAGGACTGAAAATGCACTGTCATTTTCCTTGGATTAAGGTCAAAGCCTGAGAAATAGACAGAATAGAGTATTTTCCTTCATAAACTTAACAGACAATTTCATAATCACGTTAAGGAAATGAAATCAGAAAAAAAAAATCAAAAAGAAAAATTGTAATACTTACATTGGTGACATATTCAATATCCTTCCAAATATTACATTCCCTTGGAAAATCTGCCAAATCTAAAAAATTATCCACTATCACTTGGCCAATCAAGTCATGTCTGGAGAATCTGTCAAAGTCATATACAGAGAAATGGAGTTTCCTTCTGTTCAGATCATTGTATGGGACAGTAAATAAAAAAACTTCATCAAATACTGGATTTAGGGTCTTTCTGTGAACTTTAGTCTGGTGTTTTGTTTTCCTGTCAGGAAGCAGATATATCTTCACGTATGGATCTGATGTGCCAGAGAAGTCCTTTGCTGGCAGGTTGATGGCCTTGTGAATCTTCACTATCAGCTGCTCTAAATCGCAATCATATTTGAGAATAAAGTTCAGTTTTCCACATGCCTTGCTATTACTCCTCCGGCCATCATCCGTATCCACTGATCTTTGCTTGTACAGCTCTGGCTTAATGCGGCCGATCCCCGTCAGTTGCTCTTGTTTCTGAACCTGCTGGATGTTGAAGTCCGGGTTGGAGAGGTTCAGCTGTCTTCGGATCGAATTGTGCCTTAAGTGAAAATGAAAGAGTTGAAACCTACTGTGTTGAGGATAGTAAGAATCCAGGCACACACACTGTAGATCCTGCTCTCATTTGACATATTTTTGTAATGTACAGCTGGGTCAGACTTTTAATTCATGAAGGGATAAAGCACAAGACCCAGCAGCTGTGAGAGCTGACCTTCAGTGCTAATGTCACTCTATTTCTGTTTCCATGTCTGAAACCAAACCTGGCTGAAGAAGGTGACAAATGGAAATTCGTGGCCATTGCAAATCCAAGGGATCTATATCTTATTAGCAAGTATAGTGTGACACAAGAACTCTAGCTATTTTTATCACTGGCCATTTTTGACTGAATCCTGTACATTAATGCCTACAAAATGAGTTTCATTATGCAAATGGCAGCAGGGTCAAATGAGCTTGCTGATTTCTAGTTCAGAGGTAAAGCTGGACAAAGGAGGATGCTTCCTGACATCTCTGCATTTTAATTATTTGTTGATTTCTACAATTAACAAGTGAGCTGTTCTGGCTTGAAATCATTTGTTGAACACCCCAGCAATTGTTTGGGTTTTTTTCTCTCATACCTGATGTAATGAGCTCTGTGTTACTTTGGCTGAAAAACTCCTTTAGTTTTATTACTCAAGGATAAAAAGTTGCTTTAATATTCAGTCCTGTGAAATTTATTACCTGGAGTCCCTCACTTATTGTGACTGAAATTTCTCCCTAGTGAATGGTAACAGAAATCAAATTTGCAAATCCTGTTGGGGTAGGGAGATGGGAAAGTTGGATTAGGTAAAATCCTAATCTTATCTGAGTGGGGTCCTATTTTATCATCCTATTCATATTGAGCAGTCACTCGGTTATTGGTGTACCGTGAGCTGTGGTTGAACACAGAAAGAGCACATGAAAAATGCTAGCAGAGGATTAGTCCAAAGCTATTTATATTGAATCTAATCAGCAATAGTTCCTCCTCTATCACTGTTCATTCATTCCTTATGAATATCTGTTTTTGCATGCTTAAAAGAGGAATAGCCTCTTCTGTACTATCCTAAATTTCTTCTCTCGTTGCATAATAAATACATTATCTTACAGCTATACATTAGTCATTTCCAGGATAAAATATCATCATGTAACCAAAAAAATAAGTATTTTTTAAACCCTTAAGCTCCTCATTGCAGTGGCAGGTGCAGAATATCCTGTGGAGGAATAAAAAGGAGGGCACTTCAGAGACATCTTAGCAGTGACTGTAGCAGGGGCAGCTGCCTGGTCTCTGTGGCCACAGAGGAAAACCACAGCTGGCTCCCCAGTTACAGCAGAAAGCAGCAAAGACAAGGGTGATGTCTCTGCTGAAGGAGGCAGGACAAGGAAGACAGGCCCCTCCTGCTCAGTCAAAGAGTCTTTCGGAGAAGACCTGGGCAAAAGTAAGGGGCTCTGAAAGAGAGGGGTTTGCTGTTCTGTGCCAACGAACGGCATTGAATAGGGAAGGGACCTGGAAAAAGGATCCCTTGGGGGCAGAGAGCCAGTATGACACCTGCTGTAGAGGGTCAGCCTGGGAACATGGCCAGAAGAAAGATCTGCACAGGAGAGAAGACCTCGTCTTTGCACTCAGGATGCTGAGGCAAGTTCTTTTACAGACTGAGATTAGCACTTGTAATGCTCTGGGAATGTCTCAGATTCTTTCCGAGACATGTTCTGGACAACTTGCAATTACTGAACTGGCTGCTGTCATCTCACCCATGTTTCAGGTATGCCTGCAGGATAGAGTCTTCATTAAATCTGCTCTTGCAGATGGCCAGAAAGGAGGCTAGCAAAGAGCCACTGGGCTAGTGCTGTATCTTCTCCAGCTGCAGTGCATCTGCTTTGACTCAGATATTTACTGGCTTTTCATATGCTGATCTTTTTTCTTACTGTATGAAACATAATCCTTTATCACCTGCCCCTGCACATACTCTCACCCTCACCCTTTCCTCTTTCCTCAACTGGTTCTCCAGTTCCCCTGGAGATTTTGCTGACTCTTATTCAGTCCCTTTTCCCCCCACAGTCATGACTGTGGCTAAAATCTATGATTTTTAGTCCTATTTCTAACTCTTACAAGTGTTTCATTAGCTTGCCCTACTTTTCTTCTTTGGTTGTTTTAAAAATCTTTGAGGAGATATTGCTGAGTGCTCAGCATCAGTGCTCAGTGCAAATGAATATGCTTTACAAGCTAAATCTAGGCTGTTCTGGTGCTTTTAAGGGACACACAGTGCTCTGCATTATCCAGCTTCTGAGGGAGAAGCACAAATGAGACAGTAGTTTACAGAGAAGTGGAACAGGATTGTGATCCTGTCCTTTCAACCTACGAGGTTTGTGCACCTCAAAGAATAAGGTTTGTGTGATTTTTTTCTTTAAAAGAACATGGCAAGGAGATGATACATTTTTATCAGATCATTGTACTGGATAATCAAGCTGTCCTTTTTGGACTGTATCTGTATTCATTAATATCAGAGAGAAACTGGAGTAACTGACCGAGCAGAAGAGGTGGGTTCAGTGATCTGACGATGCATTCGCACATTGTAGATGCAGTTCTCCTTCGTTCCCACCTCAGTGTCTAATGGAATATCAGGGGAGGTATGGCTGATCTTCATGGAGGACTCTGGATAGGCTGTAGGCTGACCCAGATAATCCTCACTGTAGTCATGGTCACTGGTCTCTGTGTCTGCATAGTTCAGTGATTCCTGCTTGTTGTCTTTGTTCCCAAATGGCAGACCATGCTCTCGCCAAGGGATCCAACACAGCTTCCAGGATACGAACAGAGAGACACCAAACAGAGCAAGACCACAGGCTGTGACAACTAAGGAGAGCAAGCTTATTGAGATATCTGCAAACAACAGAAACACAGCCATGTCACTTCTCTGTGCTCTCTGGAGCTCTGTATCTCTGAAGCATCACTATGGGAAGTAAAAGATCTCCTGATTGCAGATCCACAAAAATTAAATTCTGGTTCCTGCAACAGTCATAACATACAAACATATTAAAAGTTCTACTTCCACCCCCCTTCCCCCCAGAAACTTGTTTGGAATTCAGTTTAAGGCTTACCTTGATAGAACTTGGCTTATATTTTCCCTCCAAAAGCTGAATGGTATGAAAGGTCATTCTGAATATAAAAAGGGGTTGTTCACTTGCTCAGTCAACTTTCTACTGATGAAAGAGCTGTGTCTGCAGCATATTTTGCCATTTTTCTTCCTTTTATGTAGGGCAGTTTCCTCCACCTGCTTTACCAGATCCTACTACCTTCTTTTCCAGAGACTGTATTACAGTTAAACACCATGAAAATATGTACAAAAGTACATATGTGACCTGAATTTTTTTAGGCATTCAGCTGGTGTATCTTGGTTTGTTATTTTAATTCCATTCCTTCTAATTTTAGATTCATTCCTATCTTTGCAAATTATTTTGACTATGCCTTGCTATCCATAATTTAACTAGGATACCAGTATCTCTTAGAAACAGAAAATTTTCTGGTTGCTTTTTGTTTGTTTTCTTGTTTGTTTTAAACTCCAAAAGGTCTTCTTTTCTGTTTCCAAACTTCTGATATATAAGGAATGTGGACACGAGTTTTCTGTTGGTTTTCCCCATATTTCCAGCATTATCCTACTCCATCAACACAAATAAATTACAATTGGAAGAGGTTTTTGCTCTGTTTTGCTTTAAGTTGCACATTGGGAAAATGACTCAGTGGAGCAGCTGTTTTTATTGTTACAGTATTTTTGAAATTAGTCTCTCTGTGGATTACACAATACATCATGCCTTAAACACAATTAGTGAGAATTCTATTTTACTGCCTTAAATTATAAACACAAGCTGATCAAAGCAATTTTTCACACTGTGTAGGTTCAGAATGTCAGGCTGCATCTCTCTAAGCAAACAGCTAGCCTAAATTTTCAAAGGATGACATGAGGTTGAAATGTACTGCTTCTACCAAGACAATTATTTAAGAATGACAATTCAGATGAAACAGCCCCAATCCATTTGAAAGGAAAAAAAAGAATTTTTTTTTAAAGTGGAAAAGTCAATACCTTCTGTCCCTGCTGTGAATCTCATTCTCACTAGCCAGACAGATTAAATTTCCTCAGAGGGGGGTAGTGACACTTCAATCCATTTCACACGGGAGCTGTCCAGTTTACTTTGCATGCTGAAAACTAATTTCAAACAATTTTAGACAGCACAGCCCTTTCTGTCCCTCTCCAAATCACATGAAGACAAAGCTCATTAAGAGTGGGGACAGCACAGCAGCTGTTTGGAATTACAGCAAAGAGTTTGAGAGCTGAAATTAATTAAATAAATTCCTCCCATGCATAAAAGGCAATTTGGAAGAAAGTAGAATGGTCTTTCTTGATAATTTTTGAATATTTTTTGGTAAACAAGTCTGGCAGTGGAGGCAGAGCACAACCTCTCTGTTTGATTAAAAAGCTGAGGATCTAGGGTGCAGTAGTAAAAGAAAACCTTCAGAAAAAAGCAATTTGTCTTGGATTTCCTGGAGAAGAAGGAAGAAATGCATCAGAAGTCTGCAAAAAGGCCTCTTGTTATAAAGAACTGATTCAAGTAAATGATCCAGCATTGAAAGAAATGAGAAACTTGGAGCTGTCAGAATCAGCCAGAAGATTACAAGATGAGAACTGAAGACTGCCCAATGCCAAGGATGTGTGAATTTGAGGAATGATTTGAAAGGCAGACCAACAGTCCCCTAATCTTGCAGGTGACCTTAGCAAAGGACAGTCTTCTAAAGAACTGAAATCATGAGAAAAAATACATGAGGACAGCATGAACTGCTTTCCATTTGGAGTGCTTTAATAACATACTTCTGCACTTGATAATGTAACATCCTTATCTCATAGCTTACTTCCAGAGAAGGTGGGTAGTAAACAGCTCAGGTAACTTGCCATGTCACAGCATAAGAGGGGTTTCTTTTTCCGTTATCTTGGCTTTACTTCTTCCTGACTCCTATGTGTCAGAAAGAAGTTTTTGGTTCTGTGGGTGGAAAAGGGACCATCATGTATCTGTCTTACTTCTATGGAACACACCAAAGGGCAGCACTCTAAGCGGTTACCTTTCACTGGACAGTGATTTTCATATCCTCCACACACCTGCTTGGCAATTTTCAACAATTGGGTAAATCCAGTGTGAATACCTGGGGTAAGTGCAGTCCCAAGTGAAGAGGTTTGTGGTGTTTTGTGGTTTTGTTTGTTTTTTTTTTTTCTTGCTAGCAATCGAAAGGTTAAAAATGATGCAGAAATAGCAAGTGAAATAGTTTTCTACCTCTGGATCACATCATCAGTTGTTATCACTGACTGGAGATATGAGGGTGTCCTTCCTCTCTGTGACAGATTTTATTACAATCAGTGTGATGACAAAAAAGCCTCAGTTCTCTTACCAAAAACTGATTATGGAGTCGTTGCTGGATCCATTTTTAATTTTTTAACTTACATTTTAAAGTAGATCTGTTACACAGAAAAGAAAAATCTCGCTCTTTATGTCAAGTGAATGTATGATAGGAATATAAATTCTCTTGTCTTCAGATTATCTTAGTGAACAGAACCACAGAATTATTGGGGAAAGGACCCTTTAGATCTTTGAGTTCAAGTATACAAGGTCACCTAGGATAGGCTATCCAGGACAGTGCCCAAATTTCTCCAAAGATGAACACTCCAAAGTCTGTGTGGGTATAATCTTGTTTTGGTAGGGGTAAAATACTAAATGGGTAACATTTTTTAGATCACAATAACCAAAATATCAGAGCTCTAAAATATTACTGCACCTTGTGGACTATCTAAAAAAAAAAAAAAAAAGAGATAAAATTATGCCTCTATTTTTATTGCACAGATTTTTAGTACAGATAAACTGAACATAAGCTTTTAGATTGAATTTCAATAAAATCATAGATTGTTCTAAAAGAATTTGAATGGTGTACGGTAGCATGATTCCTGTTCAGTATGAGAGATTGCAAGAGCAAAGAAAAATGTATAATGATCCAATTCAAATTCTGAGAGTACAAAAGTGCAGGCCTGTGACTTGTTTTTTTTCTGGCATAAATGGTTGAGCCTTACTCTCTAAAATTCTGATGCTGAAAAAACTTACCAAAAAATTAGGCAAGCGAAATGCTGAAATAATAGTCGTGGGTTTGTCTGTTCATACACGAAACAAGGAATGAAGTAATTTTTTTCCTTCTCATGTTTATAAAGTTACCATTAGGATTGCTAAATTTTACACAAAAATCAAATATCTAAATTAGCCAACAATGAGGGAAATCAATAGCTAATGCAGATCAATTTATGTGTCTAGATATGCAGTTGGAGTTATGGAGTCAAAAAGCACATACTGTGCTGTATATATTTGGATTCACCTGACTCCAAAAGATTCAAATAAGAACAAACATATGAGAAAGGAACAATAAGTGGGAATTTCTCGTCAACCAGGCACAGATAGGGCAAGGGAACTGCTGACCAATAATTTAATTATTTAGATAATCAAGTTGTTGGTTGTCTGGATGTGACAGGTGTTCCGTTAAAGGAACTCCTTTCCCAACAAACTGTAGTTTAACTTGAAGCTGAAAGAGTTTTACCCAAAATTCTAACTGGAAGAGTTCTTTTAACATGTTCTTATTGAAATAAAACAAGCTTTCTTCTCTATCCTATTTATTCTCTTCTTTTTAATAAAATGACTATTAAGATATACCAGCATTATTGTAATATACGCATTGATCTCTTTGGGGAAGTTTGGCTAGAAAGAAGTGAAGCAAATCTTAGCAATTTTAAATCTTGCATTACAAGCATTCTTTCCTTATTTAGAACCCAACAAATTTCAAAAGGCATTCAATTAAAATAATAAAAGAATTTGTTCTGAATAATCATATTACTAAACTTTAAGATACATTAGGACAGATCAATCTTTGTGAACATGATTGTCTAAATTTAGCAGAAATTTCAAGCTATCATGTCCTGAGGGAAAAAAAAATCCTCTTTTGATTACTTTTTTACTTCTTACAAGGAGATTTTAAGGAATATGAAGGGCTCACTCAGTCAATTTCTTGAAAAACAATGGAAACATCAGTGCCTACAGCTTAAATCTTAGCTGTGCTTTTGAAAATCTAAATTGCCTTTCTCTTGTGTAAATACATCCATGTTAGCCATCATTCAGCTCAGTAGCTGTACTGTAAAAATCACTGTTGGGTGTTTTTTTAATATTAGTCTAAGACCCTAGCTTTTCCAGAGGAGAAGAGTTCTTAGGATTGAGTATCTGAAGCAGTGTTTAACCTAATATTGCAGTGTAGTTTCCTTTGTGCTTCACAGGTTATCCTTACCTTGGCACTTTGCCAAGGCTCCTGAGACAAAGGAATAATTCTCAGCAAACGCATTCTTCTCCGAAATACTGTTAATTATTTATAATACTGTGTTTAGAAACTTTCTGGTCAATTCTTTAAAGTGAGGCCACTGAAAGCCAAAGGAATATATCTCAGATTATACTAATTTTATTACACTCCAACTTTTATGTGTCTGACCCTGACATTTATGAGTGTGGACCAACAAAACAGACCCAAATGAGATCAATCGGGGCTTCACATAGTGAGAACATTCTCCATGCTCTGAAAAAGTACTTGTAACTGGGTCTTACTGGTATTTGTAGCTGTTATTAGCTTTTAGTGGCTTTTTTCCCTCCCAAGTTGTGTGTTCTACATATTCTAGGTAGGTTTTAGGGTATGTAAAGCTCTTGTGTTGGTTAAGACTGTTCTGATCCTCTGACTGACTTGCATGTCTTTTTATTCCTAAATAGTGTTACAAATTCCAGTTTATCACTGTGTGATTTCTCTTCATCTGCTTGGCATGGGTTACAAATTTGCTTAATGTTTTCTCAGGGATTGCCTAATATGAACTAAATCTCATAAATTAACCAGATCAATGAAGTATAATCCTAGGATTTCACTAAGGTACTTGTACATAAATTCCACAGCACAATTTTGATATCGAATCAGCATTCCTAAATGGCCATACAAAATACACACAACAAGAAGTTGTGCAAAAGCAGTAAGAGATTTGTTTGCACAGAATATTTTTTCCAGCAGCAATTGCTCTGGTACTATTCAAAACTGACATAAGATTGACATAACAGCTTATTGGTAAGATCACAAAATTAAAGTTTCAGTGAAAAAAAAAAACTTAAATTATTCATGGATATACATAAACAAGAAAAAAAGTACTAAAACCATAACAAAATATTATTTTCTTTTGTTTTGTATCAGCAGAAAGTTTTGCTTATTACGAAGAAAAGTTAAGTAGGTAGAATGGTTTTTTTTTTAAATTCAGGTAAGGTGGCTTCATATTGGAGACTTTATTAATTACCAAAAAAATTGTATGTGAATTGGTTCTGAGAAGAATTTATTTTTGTTTGCACACTTATCCCTAATATATTTAGTCTGCATTAATGCAAATTTCCTTGACAACTTAGCTGACATAATATTCTGCTACAGTTTGTAAGTGACAAAGAAGCCTTTACTAATCAGACAGCTGGCTGAATGAGCAGTGATTTTTAAAGACACAGCTGAGAGGAGTCTTATGTTCAAGGCTTGCATTTTTCTTTCTGACATCTTGCATTTTTATCTCCTGACAAAGAACAATGCTGTTCCCCTTGTGAAAACTAAAGCTTCTGTTTCACAATCAACATGGACACAGGGCAGAGTAGAAAATAAAGTGTTTCATGTCTTCAATAAGATTCATCCAGGTTCCCATGCCTCATTCTTGATTCTTTTTGGTTATTACCACATTCTTTTTCAATAAATGCTTCACACAACTGATAAAATATGCGGTTACTGTATAATTTTGATTTATCATATTGAGTGAAAAAAATATTATAATCTGGGGGAAAAAATCATAGATATAACAGAAGAGAGGACAGCAGTTCTAAAGATACCATGCTAGATTTTCAACTACCCTATATATGGAGATGGCTTCAATGGCTCCATTTCATCCTGGTAGGAGAACCTCTCAGGATGCGACATTTGCAGGAAATGTAGCTGGAGCAAAGGAACATGAAATCTTCTAAAAGCCTTTTGGCATTTGAGACATGCTTGTATCTTGTTAGCTAAAAGGAAAAGTGGGAAAGGAATTTTGGGGGTATACACTTACACCGCAAACTTCTATGACCACTAGGCCTGTGAGGTCCTTCCCAGTGCAAAACCTGAGTAGCTGTATTTTGTAGGAGTTAAGTTCCTGTGACTATAGCCAAAAGCCACAATGCATATTTCTACCCACTTTCTCTGCTACTCCTTATGCATTAAATCATAGTATCAGATGATTTATTCCAAGCAAATAATTAATATGATATACCTAGACTTTTCTTTTTCCTGCAGAATCATTCAAAAAGTGAAGAGAGTTTCTATTTAATTCTTTGCAAGTGTTTATCCTAGCTTTTTTTATGATATGAAAAATAAAGGTTCATCCAGTAATTGAAGAATTTAACTTCTCGTCTAGTCATAGAAAATGACCAGCCACTTTTGGGAAGTACTGTATATGCTCCTCATTAGCAGAATGAAAGGTTTTAATAGTGAAATGAAGGATGGAGAATGAATAAAGAATAACCTAGGAGAAATTTTCTAGTAGAACTGTTTTGACAAATTGTGTGTATTAAAAATTATGAAATTGTCAAGATCTGTGAATATTTTAATGACTAAGCCATCAGAGCACACATTAATCTTGAATGTTATGACCTCAATAATAGTAATGAAGAGAAATTGCCATTTATTTCTGCAATATATAGCCAGTAGCAGGAAGTCCCCAGGTTATGGAAGAAGAGCAAATAGCTTACTTGAACCATGCCAACAGGCTTTAAGTTCCATTATAGTCCTTGAAACCCCAGTAAATCACAATAACTATTAAAGTATTTGAAAGCACTAAAGGAAACAACAGAGAAGCATTTCATTTCCCATTTGTATAAAACTGTACAGTAATATTGTACAGTTCAATCAAAGTGCTCAAAACAACAGTTCCAAAGTTTATAGAACCATAGTTTCATAGTTTGAGTTGGAAGGGACCTCAAAGATCATCTGATCCCAAACCCCCTATGATGGGCAGGGACACTTTCCACTAGCCCAGGTTGCTCAGAGCCCCAACCAGCCTGGCCTTAAACACTTCCAGGGATGGGGCAACCACAACTTCTCTGGGCAACCTGTTCCGATGCCTCACCACCCTCATAGCAAAAAATTCTTTCCTAATTTCTAATCCAAACTTACTCCCTTTCGGTCTGAATCCATTCCCCCTTGTCCTGTCACTACATGCCCTTGTAAAATGTCTCTCTCCATCTTTCTTGTAGGGTCTCTCCAGGTACTCTTCAGGAAGGCTGCAATTAGGTCACCCCAAAACCTTCTCTTTTCCAGGCTGAACAATCCCAATTCTCTCAGCCTTTCCTTGTAGGAGAGGTGCTCCATCCCTTTAATCATCTTGGTGACCTCCTCTGGACTCACTCCAACAGGTCCATGTCCTTCCTGTGCTGTGGACACCAGAGCTGGATACAACCGTCCATGTGAGGGTCTCACCTAGTTATGTTAGTAACCCTAATAACCTGTTTTTGCTAATAACCACTAACAATATAATTTGATATGCTAATAAAAATAATAAAGAAGCAACAACATTCTTTGTAAAATTCTGATCGATTTCTTTAATTTTTATACCCTTTAGACCACCATATTTTCAGAGGAAAAGCAGAAAAAAAAAAAAGTAGCATTTATGCAAATGTCTCACTGAATGACTTTTTTTGGTGGGAAAATTTGTGGAATTAAATTACTGTGAGGGACCACGGAAGATGAAGATAGACCACTAAAGTGTATGAAGTGTTGTTTGAGCTTTAGCAAAATTTGTTTCACATTAATAAAGACATATCTAACACTAATAAAGACATATATATGTAAATGTATATACAAATACATTTATAATGTGATGAATATGATTAAAAGTACTTTCAGAGAGTCAGCCATAATGATTAATACAAGTTGTGTTGTTCATATAGTTCTAGTAAAAATCTATATTTTTCTTTCAGACTTCCCATTTTTTTCCTAAGGGAAGCATTAAATTTCACCTACCATTTGGCTCCTTGTCCCTATAATCTTATTAAGTTCAGTGAAATTCATTAACCTTTCTGATTTTGAATACCCCCCCCCCCCAAAATTATCTCTTTTTGAACTTTACTTTTTTTTTTAATTTTTATTTTTTTTAGGAAATAAATATGTAAGAAATAAGAATACAGTATTACTCTTTTGGGCAATTTATGTAGAAGTGCAAGCTTCTCTTTAAAGTCGGGTTGCTTGGAATGGAAATGGGGTCAATTACTTCATTAGCTTCCTTTTTAGAATCAACTACTCTAAGCCTACATTATGGGACTTTGGCACATCAAAGTGGTTCAATATTTACAATTCTTGCTTTACATTTAAGGAAGAGCCAAAATTAATTTGCTTTTTCTATACCAGCAGATCATAAAAAGCTTGTTGCAAGTGTTGAAACCTCACAAGGGGCTTGAGGAAGGTTCCTGCACAGACTGATATGGATGAAGAGTAATTGTATTGTTCAAATTATATTGCTCACTAACTTCCTTAACTGATTAAATAGCCTCATTTTTCTTTTAGGAAGGAGTTGTTGGCATAAAGGGAAATAAAGAAATCCCTGAAAGCTTTTATCCTTCTCAGATGAGCCAGATGCACTTTAATGTTCACACTGACTAGTTTTAAAAAGTATATCAGCCATGGCAAATGTATTATATATCTGTTATTCTTTGTGAATTTAAGGTTCCCATTTTATAAAATGAAGTTTTTTTGGTTGATCCATATGTATTAGGGTGTGATGGAAATCCTACTGATTGGGAACTTAACTGCTAAGGAAGATAATGAATTAATAATTTACAATCAGATCATGTTTACTATGAATTCACTGTTTGAAAAAAAAAACATACAGAATATATTTCTTTTCCATTTATACTCCACTTCCAGAGAGCAAAAGAAATGAGCTCAAGGTTTCTACAGACTTACAAATGGGTAAATCTGGAAATCATAAAATGATAGAATCATTTAGGCTGGAAAAGATCTTTCAGATTGTTGAGTCCAACTGTCTTGTCTGTTTGAAATACTGTCTACAAGAAAACTGTAAAGCAGATAGGAAAACAGAAAATCAAGAGAAATCTAAAGTGAAACATCCTAAGAATGTAGTAGCTGAAGAACAGGATGAGAAACAGATTTGATAAAAATTATCATTCAGACTGCTCTTCTGCTTGTTCATTCCTAGACAGGGATTATTTTAAAGCTGTGATGGTCTTGGAAGCCTTCCTAATTTTATCAAATCCAAATACAGAGAAGAACTTCAACTTGCTTGTTTTTGCAAAACATATACTAAAGAATGTATGCTTTGAGTAAGAACTGAACATATAGGGATTTCTGTCTTCTGGGGTTCAATTGTGCAGTCATGCAAGATATTGTATTAAAAGGAATCTGTCGAAAGAACTAGTAGCAACAACTGTCTTATGAGCTAAATAATTTCATTTTGTACATAGTTGTGAATGTAAAATTGAAACTGGGCAGCTTGAGGAGTTTTTCTGATTGTAGAAGTTTTATAGAGTGGAAAGCTGATATACTGCAATTATAACCAACAAAGCAAATATTGAACACAGTGTAGTGGTCACCCTATCGCAGATTAATGGACTCATCCTGCTCAATATTTGCTACCAAGAAGAAAGCAGGAGAGTCTAATCCTGCTTTTCCAGTGAAAACAAATTGCACTGGGTTACAGATATGAGCACACTGAAGTTTGGAGGCTGAGAAGGATGGTAATTATCTTCCTGCCCAACAGTTACTCTCTGAGGCTGTCTATTCCTACTCCACAACATGCAGGAGGTGTCCAAATACATGGCTTTCTCACCAGTGTGCTACAGTACAGGGAGCACACTGTACTGCAGCTGACTGAGGGATAAATTCAGAGTTTTTTTCTCTCCAGCTGATTTAAGCACTTTGAGCTATAATAGATTAAAAAGAGAAAAAAAATCAAGAGGATAATAAACCTGAACTGTGCACTTTAGCATCAGGAAAGTAACTGTGGGATTGCTACTTTAACATAGATGTCTAAGGTCACCAATGGGATGCAAACTGTTGTCAGTGATTCCTGAAGATTAATGTATTAATATGCCCTTAAATTCCTGAGTAAAGTTGGACAGTTATATCTTGAGAAAGGCAGTCCTAACACATGGTCAAAGGGGTATGCTCAACAACAGTTACTGTGAAAAACTCAGGAGTTTCTGAGAACCTGCTAGATTCACAGGGAAAACAAATCTTTAGAAGGAGGCAGGTGGAGGACAAGGCACAAAGATGAAACTTTAACCCTATGTGCTGTCAACTTCCAAATTTGCCAGTACCTCTTTCACTTTTCTGTTAACAATACCCATAGCATCGTACTATAGAATAATAAAGCATAAATGCCAAAGAACAGTATCAAAAACTAGTTCATTAAGGCTAAAAATTCTGGCAATTGACAAGATCAAGATATTTCGGCTTTTAAGGAAAATAGCTTATTTTTGCCCTTTGTCGTGGGTTTGCTCTGGGCCAATTTTCTCTCACCCCACCCACAACTGCTATAAGTTGAGAGAAGGTTTATGAAGACAAAAGAGACCTGATGTGGGGAAAATAACATTAGCATTTATTACTAGCAAGGTGAAAACTAAAGAACTATATATACAACAATTCTAACTAGACAAAAGTGTTACGTATTTACAGAAGTACCCCTCCCCCCTTGTATCAGTTCAGGAGAAGAAGCAGTCTCATTTCTATTTCCAGAGCTACAGGTCTTTTAAATAATTTTGCAGCACTTTAGAGTTCCTTTTCTATTAGCTCTAGGACAACAGCTCTGATTCGTCACCTTTCTCTTTTTCTCTCTTTTCTATGTCTACCTCAGGGCTGGGCCTACCCCTCCTGGGCTAAGACCAGAGGCTGGGGGTTACCCAGGCCCTGTGGGGTCCTCCATGGACTGCAAGGGGACACTTGCCTCACCATGGTCTTCCCATAGTTACAGGGGATAATGGCTTTTGAGTCCACCCCTGTTTCTTATGGGGTCCCTCCTCACGAAAGACAGTCCTTGATGGACCTCTCTAGTGTGAGTCCACCTTCAGGCAACAGTTCTTCCATTCTCTGCTGTCCCTTAGCATCACAAATTCAGATGCACCAGCATGAATCCCTCACTTGGATCACAAATCCTACCCAGGCCAACTTGCTCCAGTGTAGGGCTCTCTCTCTCCATGGGCCACAGGTCTCCAGCAGGACTCTGTTTCATCTTAGGTCTCCCAGAGAGTGATATCTTCTTCATGCACTCCTCTGCCAGCTTTGACCTTGGAGGCTGTGCTATCTCTCTGCCTGGAATTCCTTCTGCAATATTTCTCATCCAGGTAGTCTTCTTTTAAAGTTTTTTCTTCACTCTATTACATGTCTTGGTCAGGGGGGCTGTCTCAGTTTAAATGAGACACAGGTGTTTTGCTGAGGATGAGTTATGAGGAAGACCCAAACTCCTCCCCCTAAGCAATTAAGACCCAAACTCCTTCCCCTCCGAAATTAAGAGGCTCGATTGAAGGGAAAAAAATGTGGAAAAAGGAAAAATAACAGCCCTTTTTTAAAAAGATATATGTGTACTGGCAGAAACAACAAAAGGAAACAAGTAAAACAACTAAACAATACTCCTATACCCACAAATAATCCCCTTCAAAACAGACCAATATACAAGAAAAGAAAAAAAGTAAACAGTTCTGTTTGTGCCCTTTGGTGCAATTCTAACCCCAGTCAACAGGGGGCGCTGTTGAATCACCAGAGGTGCAGAGCTTGTAGTGTCCTGTGCCTGTCACCAGGGAGCGCTGTTGGATCACTGGAAATGCAGAGCCTGCAGTTCTTCATGCTGGTCAGCAGGGGTCGCTGTGGAATCACTGTTCTTTGCCATGTGGGATGACACTCTCCGGGGTGTGTTGGAGAAACTGAAAATGGGTTTCCCTCCCCGCCACACACACACTGGGAAAGGGGAGGGAGAGAAATGACAGAAAAAAAAAAGTCCTTCCCACTGGGAAAAAAACTCACTCTGTTCTGCTGGCCGAGTCGTGCGGTGTAGTTTTCCTTCTCCGTTTGCTGTGCACAAGAACCACTGCTAAGAAAAAAACAAATGGGAACGGGGAAGGGGAAAAAAACATCCCGAAACAGTTCCTCTCTGATGAAAATCCAAGCAGAATCCACAGCTGGCAGCCAAGCTGAGAACAAAAACCACTCTGAGCTCTCCTCCGACCTTGTTCCAGCTTCAGCAGCTAGCCAGAACTCCTCCCACCTGTTTCCCAGGAGAAGGGGGGGGGGGAGGGGGAGTAAGAAGGAACTCCTCACCCCCGTTTCCCAGGAGACGAGACTCTGAGGGCTATTAACTAAGAGGCAGCTTCTTTTGTGTTACTTAACTGCTCACTTAACAGCCCTCCATGCAGTGGGCTGCGGGAAGGGAAAAATTCCTGCTTAGTTCCTAAGAACCAGCAAAACCATGACAGGGGTTTCAGTGCCACACCTGCCCCCAGCCCTGGGCCGGGGGAGGAGGGAGGCCTGGCCTACCTGGGGCCTGCTGCCTCCCCCTACATGGCTCCTAATTTCTTCTGTGCAAAAAAGCTTCTCTTCCATTTTCTTAAATATGTAGTTGGCAGAGGCATTACTAAAACTTTTGATTGGCTTTGCTCCCGAAATCCGCCGGTAAAAAACTATTTTCAGCCCCGACGGGGGCTGGTCGGCAAACCCACGACACCCTTACACCTATATGTAAAACCAGACATTTTCCAACAAACAGAATCTTTCAGGAAAGGCCTGTTGCATCAGAAGTTAATTTATTTTTCATTCATCTTGACATAAAGGTCAAGATACTAACACTTCAGCATTTCAGGGTTTTAAGTGTGATAGTAACTTAACTGACTACATAAGCCTTGCATCTATCTGGAGGTTTCAAATGCTGCAAGGGACTTTGTGGTACATTTTTCACCTAAGAAAAGCAGGAAGTGTTATTTTAGATATTTAAGAAACCCCATGAACCTTTTTGCACAACTAAAGAAACTTGTGAGCACCAGAGACTAAGATCAGAGAAAGGATCAGAAGCTCTTACATTCATACAAAAAGTCATTTATAGCAATGACTGTCTGTTGAACCCTATTTACTAGTATCAACCACTTTGAAGAAGAATGTTCTTTTGATGCATCTAAAAATGTTTGTCAATTAAAAAATTACCAGTTATTCTTTCAAAACATACTGAAGATTTTGATCTATTTCCCTCAATGACAATGAACGGACATACTTAATGCTCTCCATTTGTCAAACACTGCAGACTCAGGCAGATGGCTCCACACCAATTTACATTGCTTTGTGTATTCAAAGGTTTCTCCTTTGCTTTCTTTACATGTATACTCACATATGTACGTCCCAAGTCTAGTATACATCAGCATAGGTGGGAAGCTAAGATTCTGAAATATGAAATAAATACATATAAACTGACTGCTGACATAAGATTACAGTTCTCAGATCTGTATGGCTGGAGCACTGAGGGAGCTTGCTCTGTTTTGACTGAGCTGTAAGGAGTTGTGTGAGAAAGCCAAAGCTTCTCTCCTTGGTTATAGAGGTACTGAGTCACCACCCCTGAAGGTATTTAAAAGATGTCTAGGTGTGGCACCTTGCCACTTAGGGACATGGTTTAGTGGTGGACTTGGCAGTGCTGGGCTAACAGTTGGATTCAATGATCTTAAGGGTCTTTTCCAACCTTAATGATTCTATTCTGTGTTTCTATGAAAATCGCAGTCATACAGTGATCTCAGAATTGCAAAACTAAATCCTCTATGCATCTACAATACCCTGATTTTTACTAGCTGCTAGATACAGGCTTATTTTTATGCCCAGGGATCACTTAATTACTCTTCAGAAGTGATTAAGAAAAGGGGTTGATGCCTTTCTTGTCGAAGTCTTCAGACAACCTCTCTGATGCACGGTAGCTTCATTACTGTCCATCAACTTACAGTATGCCCCTCAGCCTCTTGGATGATGACAAGAAGGTCTACTACAAATATTTTCCCCCAGTGTTGTCCAATATGAATGGGAAAAGATATGCAAATCCAGATTTTTAAGGCAAAGATGTAATTTAAAATATTTCAAAGAGAAATTTGCATGTTATTTTTTTCAGATTGTCTTTACTGAAGTTTAGTGACTTCTGCTATACATCTGAGAAATAAATGACAGCCTTCTGTCCTTATTTAACTAATCAAGAACACTGCCACTGTTGGTAGGGTGAATAAATTATTGTTTAAAAAATTAAGGTTTATTCATGAAAGTTCCTAAAAAGCATTAAAGTTTTGTATACATTCTCTCCAAGTGTCTGAACATACACAGATAAAACCAACGTGAGTAAATCTGGATCTGAAAAATGATAATGGAATGTAAACAGTGCAATAAAATGTGTTCAGAAACCCTAGTGGATATTTGAAGAATTGTTTGGTTTTCTATTCACTTTACCAAATAGTTTGTAGTTTATCATGGCTGGGCTTCGCGAATGAAGATTTGAGAAGGGCTCTAGCCACGCTTGCTACAAGCGCGCAGATGGCTAAAAAGGCCAATGTGAGATAGACAAGTCCGGTTGCAGAACATACAGCAGAAGGACTCCCCAGGTGATATCGATGAGACGTGATTCTTTCTGCGTTGTCTTTTCTCCTCAAGAGTAGTCCTGCGTGTGTTCTCAAAAGCAGCAGCAGCGTTATAGATGGTGTGTCTCCAGGCCTCCCGATTGGAGGCCAGGGTAGACCAATGGTGGTGATCAATATGGCCAAGGCTGAGGGATTGTTTCAGGCAGTCCTTGTATCTCCTCTTCGGGCCTCCTCTCTTGCGACAGCCAGTGACAAGTTTTCCATATAGCACGATCTTAGGGAGGCGGTGGTCCTGCATCCTGGAGACATGC